CATCCAGTCCCCTCAGTGACCATCCTATCCCCTCAGTGACCATCCAGTTCCCTCAGTGACCATCCTGTCCCCTCAGTGACCATCCTGTCCTCACCTTGGCCATCTAGCCCCTTCATTGACTATACAGTGACCCCCTTGACAATCCAACTGATCCTCATCTAGCCAATCCGCCTTGACTGTCCACTCCCCTCCCTCATTATTTCATTTGTCCCTTCTTCAATCTGGCTTGGGGTGAGGGAGGGAGAGTGGTTTGTCATGATGAGATTATAGACATACTTTATACTTTAACAGCCTCATTGGGATCAGAAAAACACGCGAGTAGTCCTTTTGAGGATTTCTGGGAAGCTGATATCTTACCCAGAATGATTCTCAATTCTGCAAGAATAAAATGCTGCAAGTTGCATGATCAGGCCATAAAATGGAGGAGCAGAAGTAGGCCATTCATCTCATTGAGTCTAATTTGCCATCTGATGAAATCATGATTGATTTGATAATCTTCAACTCCATTAGGGGCGGCGTGGTGGCTCAGTGGTTAGCACTGCTGCCTCACAGGGACCCGGGTTTAATTCCACCCTCGGGTGACTGTCTATGTGGAGTTTTTCCATTCTCCCCGTGTCTGTGTAGGTTTCCTCTGGGTGCCCCGGTTTCCTCCCATAATCCAAACGTGCAGATTATGTGGATTAGTCATGGGAAATGCAGGATTGCAGGGGTAGGTTAGGGTGGGATGCTCTTTTGAGGGTCGGCATGGGACTCGACGGCCTAAATGCTTCCACACTGTAGGGATTCTATAATTCTATGCTTTTCCTGACTTTTGCTACAACTCTTGATTCTCGTTACTGATTAAAAATCTATCTTAGCTTTGAATATACTTAATGACAGCCCTCTGCCTGTACTGTGCTGTAAAAGTGGAGTGACAGGTTGACAGGGTGGTGAAGAAGGCTTTTGGCAAGATTGTTTTCATCGGTCAGAGCATTGAGTTTCGGAGGTGGGATGTCTTGTTGTAGCTCTACAAGATGTTGCTGAGGCCACATTTGGAATACTGCATGCAGTTCTGGGGGCCCTATTATAGAAAGGATATTAAACAAGAAAGAATGTAGAAAGGATTTACTAGGATGCTGCCTGGACTGGAAAGTTTGAGTTATCGGGAGAGGTTGGATAGGCTGGGACTTCTTTCCCTGGAGCATAGGAGACTGAGAGGTGTCCTTATAGAGGTATATAAAATCGTGAGAGGCATGGATATAGTAGATAGTGGACAGCTTTTCCCGAAGGTAAGGGAGTCTAGAACTAAAAGGCATAGGTTAAAGGTGAGAAGGGAGAGATACAAAAGGGTCCGGGGGCAATTATTTCACAGAAGGTGGTGAGTGTCTGGAATGGACTGCCAGAGGTAGTGGTGGAGATGAGTCCAATTTTGTCATTTAAGAAACATTTGGGCAGATATATGGATGGGATAGATATGGAGGGATATGGACCAAACGCAGGTGAATGGGACTAGTTTAATTGTGAAAACTGGGCTGCATGGACAGTTTGGCCCAAAAAGCCTGTTTCCATGCTGTAGACCTCTATGACTGTAACTGCTTTCTTTGCCTCCATTCAGCTGCTTATATTAAACTCTACCTGTTGGAGAATGGAACGTGTGTGGCGAAAAAGAAAACTAAGATGGCTCGGAAATCTCTGGATCCCCTGTACCAGCAAATCCTGATCTTCACTGAGAATCCACAGGGAAAGATCCTACAGGTCAGTGCATAGCAGCATTGAGATGAGATGGGTCTAAATTCCAGGACGCAGTAAGATTAAAGGATACACTGAGTGGTCATAGCTCATTGGACTGGCCAGACAGGATGTGTGTTTGTGTGTGTGTGTTTGTGTGAATGGGCGTGTGTGTGTGTTTGTGTGAATGGGTGTGTGAGTGTGTTTGAGTGTGTGAATGGGTTTGTGAGTGTGTTTGAGTGTGTGAATGTACGCACCTGAATGCATGTGAGTATGAGAACGTGTGAATGCATAAGCGAGTGTTTGTGTTGACTGTTAAGAACACTAATTTTAAGGGCTGTCCTAAAAAGCAAACATAGTGGCAGACAGAGATAGCAAGAACTGCAGATGCTGGAGTCAAAGACAACACAGCATAGAGCTGGAGGAACACAGCAGGCCAGGCAGCTTCAGAGCAGCAGGAAAGTTGACGTTTTGGGTCATGACCCTTCTTCAGAAATGAAGAGGGGAAGGGAGCTGGGAAATAAATAGAGAGAGGAGGCGTGGGGCTGGGGAAGGTAAGTGGGATAGTGATAGGTGAGTGCAGGTAGGGAGTGGTGGGGAGTCGTTAGTGGGATGGGAGGAGCAGATAGGTGGGAGAGAAGATGGACAGGTTGTGTCAGGTCAAGGAGATGGGAATGAGAGGGAGGAATTGCAAAGCTTTGACCCTCAGCTGCTGAGGCACCAACGCTGGGGCAAAAGAAGTAGTGGCTGTGTAAAAGGTTAGAGGTGTCTGATGCAGAGGCTTCAGGGAATTGTTGGGTGCTGTTTGCAGAACAATCTTGCCCCACACCCCACTTGACACCTGTATCTGCCCCAGATGTCAGGAAGCTCTGCACTCTGTCTGCCCTTACACCGTGGACACTATTCACCCAATGGGTGCAGAAAGATGGTGTCCTTGCCTATGGAGCCTTCACTTTGAAATTTGGCAATGAGATTTTAAGATGCCTCCCACAGTGTGTGACCACAGTAGTTGGTACAGGGTACTCCTGAGATGAATCAAGACTCTTAGAGGGTCAAGGCTGATCCTCTTTGTTCACTCACAGTCGGTTCCTGGAGTGACCATGCATTATTTTGTGCACTCCAGAGGTGTGAGCAAAGAATCCAAGCTGATCCTTTCTTACTGAGGAGTGCTGCACTGTTGGAGGTGCCACTTTTTTGGATTAAATGTTAAATTGAGTTAATCAGGTAGAAATGAAACTGTCCAATACTTATCTCTCAACCAACAACACTCAAACAACGATTTTATTGTTATCACTTTGCTCTTTTTGGGATCTTGCTGTGTGCAAATTAGTTGCTGCATTTTCTACATTTCAACAGTGACTACACTTCACAAAGTAATTCATTAGCTGTGATAAGAATTGAAGAAATGCAAATTTCTTATTTTTCATGAGCTCAATTTGTCATGACTCCGTTGCAAGGAGCGTACTGATAATCAAGTGCCACTGTTTCAGAAACCATCACAAATGTTTAATACCTGATAAACTACCGAGATGGCCACTTTGCCTGATTGATTGCTATTCTGGGCCAAAATAATTCACACCAGGTTTCATCATTAACAGTAAATATGTTGCGAGCAACGTATTCTTTAAGAAGCAACAGACGGAAATGGATAAGCTATATCTTTAACACTAAGCAACGACTTTAAAATCTTAAACACAAATAATTCACAAACACGATTGCAATAAGAACAGACAATTTGATGCCTGTTATTGTGGGTGGGATACATATACAGAGGGAAAGAAAAACAAATTTCTTTAGTTCAAGAATCCAGACCACAAGGTGGCATGAGATTTTATTTTTCTCAGCCCAGCAGCTTTTTCTGATCTCAGACTCCTGGTGCCACTCAGTCCCACAAAGTATTCATCTCGTTGATCCAAGCAGTAACACAATCTTAGATAATGAAAACATTCACTGCACAATCCTATTTGATCTTCAAGTTGCAGGCGAAAGAGAAACTTTCTGTACTTTTTAGCTACATAACAGTGTCCAGTTTCCGATTTCCAGCTTATGGTTCAAGAACAACAGTATGTGGTCCCTTTCAATTTTCTTGTCAGCACTTAGAGCATAGAACAGTACAGCACAGGAACATGCCCTTTGGCCCACCATGTCTGTGCCAACCACAATGCTATTCTAAACAAAACCCATCTGCCTGCACATGGTCCATTTCCCTGTATTCCCTGCCTGTTCATGTGTCTCTCTAAATGCCTCTTAAACTTTGCTATCATATCTGTTTCTACCATTTTGCCTGGCAGTCCTTTCCAGGCACCTACCACCCTCTGTGTAAAAAACTTACCTCTCATGTGGGGCAGCACAGTTGCTCAGTGGTTAGCACTGCTGCCTCACAGCACCAAGGACCTGGGTTCGATT